TAAGATAATAATAAAATGCATGGATTTTGTCCCTACTTTGTTTGGAACCATGACATGGATACTGGCAAAATGAACAATTAACAGTATACACTCCTAAAAAGACAGGGATAATCTACTTTGTAAAAGAAACATTTCTTCATATCTTGTAAATGATAGCGCTTTTTCTAGTCTCAAATTCTGTTCTGAGGTGAAGATTGAATGTCTAGCTATAGGCCCCACTGCATCCACTTGGATGGTTTTAACAGAACTGCAAATTTAACTCATGATTTTCTCCCCCGACCAGCTACTCCTGGAAGGTGTCACAGAATAGCAGGATTATTGTGTGCTTTCAACCATTCAGATCTAGATGCAAATTACAGCTTTACTTACCACTTAACTAGTAGCCACAACTTAAAAGAATTAAATTTAAAACCAAAAAAGCAGCATATTTGGAACAAAAAACAAAAAAGCAACTCAATGACAAACATTTGAGAGGACAGTCAGCAAGTGGATCACTTGAAAAAAGCAAAACAAGAGAAAATTCAAGTATTGTGATTTGAAAGCTGGACATGGTGGCACACGCTTGTAATACCAGTGCTCTGGCTGCTGAGGCAAGAGGATTACATGGAGCTCAGAAGGAGTGCAAGGCCAGCCTGGACTACATAGCAAGACCTTGTCTCAAAAATAAATAAAACTTAAAGAACTGTTATTTGAAAACAGAAAAGGTCTTATGAGTATAACAGTACAATGAAGATCACTTTAGGAAAATGAAACACTGTCTTTCTTGGTTTTCTTTTTTTGGTACAGGGGATCGAACTCGGGTCCTTGCACTTGTAAGGCAAGCGGGAGCACCACTGAGCTAAATCCCCAGCCCCACTGTCTTTCTTCATTGTGGACAAGTTAGGTATTTTTCTGTATGGCTTAGATTAAGTCACCTGTGACTGGAGGACTACTTCATTGGTTTTATCCTACTGGGAAGACAGAAGGTTATTTTTCCTTTTTGGTAGAGCATTTGTGTAGGCTTTTTTGAGACAAAATGTTATCGTACAGATAAAAGAAGACCTACAGCTGGAATTTTCATCATTTCATTTGCACAAAAAGGATGATTACCTAGGGTCATAGGGGCTTAGAAGGGATGCTAAAGCTAAATGTTCCTGAAGACAGCATCAGCGTGAAAGCTGTTATGTTAAACCATACATTCCAACAGTTGTATTCTTGATAGGGATAGTCACATGTGGATACCTGAGGACACCAGATAGGTGCTAAGAGCATTTTTTAAAATTTCATTTGGTATCAAATTAAGGAAACAAGGTACTGGTGAAAACTTTATCCAGACCTTGCTAGTAGAAAAATGGGGAAAACCTAGCAAAGTTTCCAGAGATGATATACTTTAGAAGCATGCATCCTACCGGAATAAAACTGAGGGTTTCTAAAAATAAAGAGGCATTCTCCCTAGGTGTTACATGAACACAGTGAAAAAAGCCAAGGTCAGGCAGGCAGATTAACAGGCCAAATCAAGATTTATGTGGGTGGATAGTTCCAAACAATGGTATATTTTTAAAGAATGTGGAAACAGCCTTTTAATAAGAAGACATCCCATTTGTTGATTGTTTGTGCTAGTTCACGGGCAATTGAGGTTTTGTTCATAAAATCTTTTCCTACACCAATGTCTTCAAGGGTTCTACCTAACCTCTGTTCCAACTGGTTCAGAGTTTCTATTTTAATA